GAGCGGCAACAGAGAAGGCCCTACTCCGAGGCGTCGCCAGCCGGCATTGTCCAGCTGAAGGCACTTAACACATCAGAGTGCCTGAGCACTAGATTTGATATCACTTGACCGCTACATGTTTTAATTCAGAGTAGCTGTTCCTACCATGTTTCCCGAAAATACGACCTGTCCCGAAACTAACGCCTTGCCACATGTTTCACGTGGGCAAAAATGTAAGCCCACCCCGAAAAATAAACCCCCTGGACAACCCCCCCTCTGGCCAGACAGACCCCGAAGGCGCCAAGCCACGGGAGCCGGGGGGAGGCGCTCATGTTGCTTGCTGCCTTCGGGATACCGCTAGGTTGGGGAGTGGCGTTCTGCCTGGCTGGAGGGGGGGTGTTGCCTGGCGGCTGCTCCCTTGCAAGCAGGCTCCCAAAGAGCCAGACATAGCCTCAGAGGGGAAGCAGCCATGAGGTGACCATGCTCACGAGCAGCCGCCCGGCAAATCCCCTCTCCAGCCGGGCAGAGTGCATTCACTGACCTAGGGGGTATCACTAAGGCGCCAAGCCACATGGTGCTCTGTCCGCCCCCCAGCACCCACAGTTTGGCACATTCGGGATACCCCCTAGATCAGTGGATGGAACTCTGCCTGTCTGGAGAGGGGGGTTGCGCGAGCGCCTGTTCTGCCCCCAGCCTCACCAAGACCTTGTGCAGCTCTCCCTGCAGGGCGCCGCCGCGTGCTACTGCCCGCCGCTATGCTCCGAGCATAACTTCCAAACTCCACTGCCGAGTCTTCTAGCATCGGCTGCTCTTGGAGTGCTCTCTATGGTGGGCCGGGTGCTGTAAGACTCTGTCCGGAAGACTCTGTCCGGCAGCCGGCCCACCATAGAGAGCACTCCTAGAGCGGCCGATGCTGGAAGACTCGGCAGTGGAGTTTTGGAGTTTGGAAGTTATGCTCGGAGCATGGTGGCGGCGGCAGTGCCCTAGTAGAGCTGCGCAAGGGTTTGGTGAGGCTGGGGGCGGAACAGGCGCTCGTGCAATCCCCTTCTCCAGCCGGGCAGAGCTCCATGGACTGACCTAGGGGGTATTCCAAATGTGGCAAGCCGCGGGAGCTGGGGGGTGGGCAGAACGCCACGTGGCTTGGCGCCTTAGTGATACCCCCTAGGTCAGTGAATGGCGCTCTGCCCGGCTAGAGAGGGGATTTGCCAGTCGGCTGATTGTGAGCGTGGTTACCTCATGGCTGCTTCGCCCCTGAGGCTGTGCCCAGCTCTTCGGGAGTCCGCTTGCAAGGCAGCAGCCACCCAGCAACCCCAAAACAATAAGCCCTCTCTGATAATAAGCCCAAGGCCATATTTCACGGGGCAAAAGAAAATAAGACCCTGTTGTATTTTCGGGGAATCACGGTAATAAAGATCCCAAAACAATGAACAGCATCTACACTAAACTTAAAATAACATAAGCATATATACATATATTTAAGAAACACATCTAATTTAGATATAATTAAAATCATAATGTAGTGCTATGGGAATAAGCTGCAAACACATAAGGTTTTTGCAGCTTTACAAATCTTTCAGGTTCAAAAGAAGGGATTTACTGTACACCTGCCATATTGAATAAATCCATTTCACATTCCATCCAAACCCAAGCCTTTCTATTATTTTTATTTTTTTAGCATAATAGTATTTTGCCTGAGACCACTTTTTGGCATAATTCTTAAGCAAGGGTATACCTGTGCTGCAGCCCATATGCAGTCTATATGCGGAGTACTAAGCCGGCCTTCAGCAGCAAGAAAATTAAGAATCACTTGGCACTGTTTAATGATCTGGAAAATATTAAATCAACATTAAAACATTAAAACTTAAACTTCATAATAAAGGGAGACAATCTTGCTTTATATTAAACATACCTCAATATGCAAATTTGGTCCAAAAATATGTTCCACTACATTGTTGTTGATTAGCCAATCTGCAAGTTCTTTAGCAATGGATCTATATAAGAGGGGGAAAACATAAGAAGGTAATTAAAGAACTTCCATTAATTGTTATCTAATAGTTAGGGGCATGCAATTTCTTTAGTCTGAGCACTATATAAGCCCTCTCCTATTGGTGTATGGAACATCCTTTTGCAGTTGATGAAAATCAGTAAACGTTTATGGGAAAGAAAGGACTTATATTTGAAAGATTGGAGGGGCAATTCAACCTTCCAGAGAGGATTTAAGATTTTTGGTTAATGTGTTTTAAAATACGATGTGCATATAAAACTTAAAATAACCATCATTTTTGCATTTGGCATTGAATGACTCCAAAATCACAGTTCACACTGAATTCTAATAAAATTTTACTGTTGACTGCAATGTAGTTGGGGCGAAGTTAAATGAAAGTATTCCAAACTTAAAAGATACTTACGTTTCTGTATCTGAAACCAAGGATTCATTATTACACACATCATTGAAAGTATGAAGTTGATTCTACAAGTAGGAAAAAACACTTTAAATTTATAAATGCCAAAAAGATACAATTGATTGAAATGAAGTATCATTCAAAAGTTAAGTAATCTCTATTTCTATAATAAAAATACTAAAGAAATATACTTTAGCCAATAAAGAACAGCAAGTTAATCAAAATAGATTCTTACCTCAAATTTATTCATTAAAATCTTTTGCAAAAGGTTGTTTTCCATTTATGGTTAAAATACATGAACTGAACATATTGATATATTACTACACTGATTCTTTCATAGTAAACTTCATTAATAATTGCAATTTCTTATTTTGCTCATTACAACCATTTGTATTGTACACAATATTAAAATTTAAATTTATTTTACAAACAAAAATGCCTGTGAATATGTAAAATAATGTATTGTTTGGCTTAGCTTCTTGTGTGCGAACAAAGCCACTGAAATTTGGAATCATGGTATATGGTTTTGCAAATTGTTGTTTAAAAAGTCTGCATGGATTATGACACTATCTGAATTCAGTTACAAAATCATATACATTTTGCTGCATTTTGTTTAAAACCAGATTTACTCTCTCTCTCCTTAAAAATAGTTAGCATACACTGAAGAAACAGCAATTATTTCAATACGATTCTTCCAACAAATTTTTGCAAAATTTGAATATTACATCAAATATCTGTCTTAATTTAAATTTGCTGTATTTGTGAAGATATTTCATCTTATTTACAAATAACCATTAATGCCATTTTTGTGGGCTTGTGTGATCAAAATGCCCCTTGATCGTTTTGGTTCCATTAAATTGTGTGGAATTTAATTTTTTCACAGATATCATGTAGTGAGCCAAAGCAGTGGTGGGTTTTAATTTATTTTACTACCGGTTCACTCGTGCACGTGCATCAGCAGAAATATCCGGGCAGAGCTTCCTGCCGCTACCACTATCAGATCACCTGATCCAGGACAAACTGGCAAAAACTCACCTCTGAGCTAAAGTATAGTAAGGTATGTACCGTGTTTTCCCGAAAATAAGAGTGTCTTATTTTCTTTTGGTTCCTGAAATAAATGCTTGGCCTTATTTTCAGGGAGATCTTATTATTCTTGAGGTGCAGGAGCGTGGTCATCTCATAGTTGCTGCTGTGTTGCAATATTTTCAGGGAGGGCTTATTTTAGTCCATGCAGTCAAAAGCTTGGTTGGGCTTATTATTCCGGGGAGGGGGGTCTTATTTTCAGGGAAACAGGGTATATTCAAATAGTTCTAAGCAGGGGTAGTTTTCTATGTAATAAGGAAGTACATTATTTCCTCTAATATCTGCTATTGACACTTTTGGCAGCAGAAACCACCTCAGGTAGGCATTTCTTGTAACTGCCTACAAGCCTGTGATATTCTCTAGAAGAAACTTTTCCCCACTCATCATGTAGAATTTTTTCAACTGACAAGACAAGAAATAATGGTTGGAAACTTATCAAAGAGAGATTCAACATAGAATAAGGAGAAATTTCCTGACAATCAGAACAATTAATAAGTGGAACAGCTCGCTTTCACAAGTTGCAGGTACTCCATTACTAGAGGTTTTTAAGAAGGGATTGGACAGCCATTTGTCTGGAATGCTTGGGAAGGCAGTTGAACTAGAAGACTTTCTAGGTCCCTTCCAGCTGTTATTGTTATTCTTGATGCATTTCTTTCACATATAAATTGCCTTAAATCACCTCACAGCATCTCATTGGGATTTAATCTAAACTTTGATTTGGCCATTCTAGAACACTTCCATTTCCTTCCTTCTTTTTTCAGCCATTCCTTGATGAATTTACTGGAAAGTCATACCCCTATAAATAGTCTTAAGTTGTACAACCCATTGTCTCATTTCAATAACCTATCATCTTATTCTGCTGTGTTGGGGGCCAAATTCTACTTAGACAGTAAAATCATAACTTTTGAAGAAAAGAAAATGATACAGATAGCCCTCAACTTAGTGTGTTTAGCAACCGTTCTAAGTTACAATGACACTGAAAAAAAATGACCTATGACTGTTTTTCACACTTACAACTATTGTAAGTGCTCACATGATCAAAAGTCAGATATTTGGCAATTGACTCATAATTATGACAATTGCAGTGTCATAAATATTTCCTGGGGTCATGTGATCCCCTTTTGTGACCTTCTGAGAAGCAAACTCAATGGGGAAGTCAGATTCACTTAATAACCATGTTACTAATTTAACAGCTGCAGTGATTCACTTAACAACCACAGTAAGGAAGGTCATAAAATGGGGCAAAACTCACTTAACAAATGTCTTGCTTAGCAACAGAAAAATTGGGCTCAATTGTGATAGTAAGTTGAGTACTATCTGTATTGCCTCAGAACAGTTTTACATATACTTATTTATTTGTATATCTATATGTCTACATATATTCAAAAGCTTCTTACTGTTATTTGACTAAGTCCAGCCAATCTCATGGTTAAGGTTGGTGACATAAAGTACTTAAAAGCAAGATCAAGACTCTCTTTATCAAAACACAAGGCAGTATCTAATGGCTCTTTAACCGTGCTCCACATTAAATCTGCCATATTACGAGCTGCACTCTGTCTTAACTCCTGGTCCGACAGTTTGCATAAATACCTAAGCAGAAATACAAGGAAGATCAAATTAATATTAACAAAACAAGTCAAATTAATTTTGCCAGTCATAATTTTTATTGAAAATATATAACTTTATAGAAACCTTAATAGCACAATTATAAGTCATAAGAAACCAGTCTTAAGTTAAATAAAAGTAAGTTTAAATGTAATTTCATTTGGGAAAAGACTTGTCTGAAAGCATTTGAAACTTGTTATCAAATACATGTGAAAATCCATATGACCTTTGACAATTTTATCTAATTTTTAATTTCTTACATTTGTACATTATCCACCATATATACTACTATTCCATTTGTTTCCTCAGAACTAGACTGGTAGAAGTACTTTGACTTTATTCAGGTTCAAGCAGGATTTAATTTTCTGTTTAATGGGTGGTTGAATTCAGATTTCTTCTATCCATTGCTAAAAGCAATGGCTTTTAGATACAACAATCAGAAATAAAGTCTAAATTTCACATTCTGGAATAGCCTCTCCAACCTAGTATCTCATGATTATACTGCCAAATTTCTTTCCCGCAATTGTAGTTCAACATGTGTGGAGGATACTAGATTACAATGGGTATGGCTGATTTCTAGAACTATAGCTTGATAACAAATGATTACAAATTCAACTGATAGAGCAATCAAGAGGTTCATCTCCTCATTCCAAAATTTTATTTGTGTTTAGTTTGAAGGCATCTATCATAATCACCAAATGTTTTTCAGGAAGCAAAAGTTTCCCCCACAAAATGTTGTCCCAATATAATTATTGATTTCTTAAAATACTAAAGCTAAGCATCCAGAATGCAATAGTGCGGGTAGGTACAGGTATGTCCATGCACTACCAACGTTATACAAGCTGCACTGGCATCCTAATATGCTTCTGAGTATATTTTATGGTGCTGGTTACCTAACAAATCTGTTCATGACATAGCACTGAATTACATAAGCCTATCTCCAACTGAATCTGTCTATCTTGCAAATCTGGCAGAGCAGACATGCTCTGGGTACCTTCTATATCAGTGATGAGGAACCTTTTTCGCCTTGGGTGCCAAAAGCATGCACATGCGCGCTGTCGCACACGCTCACATGCCCAACACCCATAATTTAATTTCCCCCCATGCTGTACCCCTGCGCATGTGTGTGACCCCCCCCCCGCGCTGTCCAGCGCATGGCTTTCTTGGAACATGGGGAGGGCAAAAACAGCCCTCCTCCCCCTGGAAACAGCCAGTTTTTCGGTGGGCCCGGTAGGTCCGTTTTTTGCCCTCCCCAGGTTCCGGGGCTTTCTTGGAGCCTGGGGAGGGTGAAAAACAGGCCCAACGGGTCAACTGGAAGTTCATCCGGTTGGCCCGTTGGGCCTATTTTTCACCCTCCCCAGGCTCCAGTGGCTTTTCTGAAGCTTGGGGAGGGCGAAAATGGCCTCCCGCGGAAGGCCAAAAAATCAGCTGGCCAGCGCACACACATGCGCCAGAACTGAGGGCTGCCGTGCCTGCTAATATGGCTCTGCGTGCCACTGTGGTACACGTGCCATAGGTTCGCCATCACAGTTCTATATGATAAGTTCAAACAGTACTATAAGGGGGCCAAATAGGTTAGCATTTTATGTAAATAAATTTCAGGAATCAGAAATAAGTGCAAAAAGTACCTGATGACATAGGTCCTAAAAGGTATAATGTGTTGCATGACAGCAGGGATGTGCAGCCATATTCTGATCTATGCAAAAAGTACAAAAATTGAACACTTTAAACTGAAATGTCAACAAACTTAAGATACATTTATTTGCCAAGTAGAATGAGGAATATTTTTTTCCTATAACAGAGAGGTCTCCAATCTTTCCAGCTTGGTGGTCCAGGAGGAGGGAAGAGGTGATGGCTTTGTGTGAGTGGTGGGTGTGAGTGCAAGTGCACATAGCTCCATTTGTACAAGCAGGAGCCCACTGCTCACACAAATGGAGCTTTGAACGTAAGCATGAGAGATCACCACTTGCACAAGTGAAGCTGCAAGTGCACTCACTTGCCACTTGTGTAGCCTTGTTCTGAATAGGTTGCAGCCTACTAGTGGGCCATGGTCCGGAGGTTGGGGATAAAGGTATAATTTAAATTACTAACAAATTAGATAAAATGTGTCAGAAAGTATGAGCTGGTTTCATCAAGATTATGTGTGTGCAGAGCAGATTAGTGATTCTACATCTCATTTTCCAGTGATAATGAAAGAACCAGGACAAGTTTAAGAGAAAATAGAAAAAAAGAGCAAGGCAGAAAAGCCGGATTGTCCAGAGAAATCTGTAAAAGCCAGGCCAAAGCAAAAACAAAAAGTCTGTTTACAAAACAAGAAACAGTCAAGTTATTTTCATTCAGGGGAGGAGGTCTGGATGATACTTTTTGGCTAGAGTTTTTGGCTATTAAAGAAAATATTGTAGAATTTGCATAATCTTCAGATAGGGATAAAACAACAAAATCAATCAAATATGTATGTTTTAAAGCAAGGTAGTTCTGATTGAACAATGAAAAGTTGCAAGTTACATATACATTGAAGTGTATTCATGTACTTTGATAGAATGCTAGATAACTTCTCTCCAAACTCCAGTCAGACAAGATGACAGATGCTAAACTTTTAAGTACCTGGAGAAAGCAAATTATCTGGACCTTTTTCAGGTGAACTCCAGGTTCGATTATAATACAGAGATTGCATTGGTCAAACTTATGGATACTTCTGGAGGACCAAGTATGGGGGTTGTATATCCATCCTTCCAACTCTGGGTTTCTCAGCTGCTTTTGATACCATTGATTATAGTATCTTTCTGGACCAACTGAGGGTAATAACAATAAGGGAGGGCACTATTTTGTATGATTCTCCTCTTTCCTCCAAGGTCAGTTCCAATCAGTGTTCGTAGAAGAGTCAGAGAGAGATCCTAGCTCTAAATCTTTTTATGGAGGTTGCTTTGGGGTTTCTTGCCACTCCAATATAACATCTATGAAACCAGTCAATCAAAACAAATCTTTATTACAGTCAAAGACCAGCACAAGGAGGATGGGGTGCAGTTAATTCAAAAAGCACTAAAACAAAAAGATATAAAACAGAAAGTATATATAAAAACAAAAGTTGAAAAGGGCTTTAAAAGAAGGATTAGGAACATTAAATGGGTATAGAGGCTAACTACAAAGGCTAAACATGTATGCCAATACAGAAGGCTGTATAACTATTTTGTATCTTATTATGTTTGTCTTATTTTTTCTTTTCTTTTTTTTACGTTTTCTCCTGTTTTTAAAGGTAAAAATGTTTAATAAAAACTATTTTTCAAAAAACAATAAATAAATGGGTATAGAGGAATATAGGTCGTGTATGTGTGAATATAAGTGGTTGTATAACATACTATGTTAGTATGTGGCAAACGAAAGTTATTACAGCACACTCTAGCATAACAAATTACATGCTCATTAAGGTTATAATACAGGTCATCATCAGACAGATATTAAATGCTGCTGTGGCTAACCTGATAACAGAATACCTTAAAGCAGTAGGGAGGTGTAGAATTGTCTTGGGTATTTATGTAATAATAGTGAGATGGTGCTATTGTGTTTCCCCGAAAATATGACATGTCTTGAAAATAAGGCCATGCCACATTCTTCGGGTGAGCAAAAATATAAGCCCTCCCCTGAAAATAACCCCCCTGGACGACCCCCATCCCTCCACTCAGGCAGAGCGTCACTCACCAACCTAGCGGTATCCCGAAGATGCCAAGCCGTGGGAACGGGGGGGGGGGAGGTGCTCACTTTGCTTGGTGCCTTTGGGATACCGCTAGGTTGGTGAGCGGTGCTGTGCCCAGCTGCAGGGGGTGGGGTACCAGGCGGCTACTCTCTTGTGAGCGGGCTTCGAAATAGCCAGGGATAGCCTCAGGGGCGAACAGCTATGTTGTGCTATTACAGCAGCGCAACACAGCAGCCATCAAGCGATCACGCTCGTAAGCAGCCACCTGGCAAATCCCCTTTCCAGCCAGGTACAGCAACATTCATTGACCTAGGGGTATCGCCAAGCCGCATGAGTGCCTGTCACTGGTGCCCGGCTCCTACGGCTCATCGCTTTTGAAATGCCAGTGAATGGTGCTCTGCTTGACATCCCTGACCCAGGTCTCCCTGCAGAGCCAGGGCACCTCCGCTGCTGCCCACAGCTAGCCCACAACCATAGAGCGTACGCCCAGAGCGGCCACTGCTGGAAGACTCGGTTTGGAAGCTGCCGAAAAAGCCATGTTGGGATGGCACCGGAGGTGCCCTAGCTATGCAAGGAGAGCTGGGTCAGGGCATTGTGAGACTGGAGGTGCACGAGCGGGATTGGAACAGCCGCTCGCGCAACCCCCCTCTCCAGCCATTCAGAGCCCCATTCGCTGACCTAGGGGCATTGCAAAGGTACTAAGCCGCGGGAGCCAGGCGGCAAACAGGCGCTCACCCGGCTTGGCGATACCCCTAGGTCAGTGAATGGCGCTGTGCCCGGCTGAAAAGGAGGTTTTCTGGGTGGTTGCTTATGAGCGTGGTCACTTCATGGCTGTTGTGTTGCGCTGCTGCGACAGCACAACGCAGCTGTTCGCCCGAGGCTGTGCCTCGCTCTTTGGGAGCCTGTTCACAAGAGAGGAGCCGCCAGGCAACCCCAAAACAATAAGCCCTCCCCTGATAAGGCCCAAGCCATATTTTGTGGGTCAAAAGAAAATAAGACCCCGTCTTATTTTCGGGGAAACACAGTAGTATGAATGTCTATGTAATAGGCACTGAAAAACCATGTGCTGTTGTTTCTGTGTATCTAGAGTCACAGGGACATGGTCTCTCCAGGTAAGGAATCTTCTGGTATTGGCCTTCAAGGACAGCTGAAGGGAATCCATGATATGAATCCAATGATGAATCCAACGTCCTCTGCTGGTTACGTACTTTTCAGTTGAGTTAGGCAATTTATAGGAGAATAACAGTCCCTGATGGATTGACCAGCAATAATGGCTGGAGACCTGGCTGGATCCAACTGGCACTTTATATCTGTGATATGCTATATGTGCTACATGTAGCATTATTAAAATTAGAAAATTGTAGACATATACTTACATTAGAAACCACAGTGATAAATGCATGTGCTATGAGAAATGGCAAAGTTTCGGGAGTTCCATATTCAAAACAGTCCTTCATGAGGGATAGGCCATTTTTTCCACAAAATAAGCAAACATAGCGAAGCAAGTGCAATGGTACTTCTACATCCTGTAGAAATAAAATCAATTTTTTAAAAATCCACATATATCTTTCTCATTCAAAATAATTACATGCCTACAAGCTATTCTGAAATCTTTTCTTCATGAGCACTGAAGCAATATTTCAGGATTTATGTAAGTTCCATTTGATGCACAATTCATTGTATTGATTTTGAACGAAGTGTTAAAATTAAAACTATGTAATGTTGTGAAATACTATATATGAAACTTATGTAGTTTCACATTTCATATCCGTTTGCATGTATTTGGGTTTATACATCAATGCCGAACTCTTTGAAATTCCTGAAAAAGCTGAAGTTAACTATAATATAGGTGCAATTATTCAGTCTATATACAATAAAACAGTGAAGCTATACTTGTTTATTCATCCAACGGTAAAAATGTAGCATAAGTTCTTTTAAATTGGTTACACATACTTTATATTGTTTTTAACTTGTTTAAATTGGATTGTTTTTATCTGTTATGAGCCCGGAAGCTTAGGTAAACTACATAGCCATACAGTTTTTTAAAAATGTGGTGCAAGATTCTAACAATCCAAAAGACACCAGGCAGATTCAAACACAAAATATAAGGCAATATGCAGATGTATATAGCACTCATTAAGATATTCTGTTAAAAGCACAGAATATGGTTTACAAACCACAATAAGTGAGGCAAAAAACATTGCAATATGTTGGATTCCAGCCCTGAATGTGATTGAGTTTGACAACCCTGACTTAGAAAACCCTGTAAAGAACTATGAAGTGTTATATGTGCTACTGCTATTATTATGTTTTCCAGAGTGAGTTTGCAGGATGGGCCAGAGATGGTATCACAGCCAATTGGCCTCGAGACTGGGTTGAAGCTGAAGCCATGCCTCTGGGCTCCTCTCCTCTGACTCCAGTTTCAATCCAGTCTGGTCAAAGAGAGGTTGTAAATTCTTGACTCCTGATCTGATTCAACTTTTTTGGGCCATCCTCAATTCAGCTTGCTTCCTTCTCACAAGGTGACCCTTCCTTCACCTCCCAGTAAGTCCCTGCCGATAGCTGTGGTTTTTTCCAGCTACTCGAGGGTTAAATCTCAAGGCTTGGAGGCTCCAGTGGCTGGGTCGCTCTTTCGGTGGCCATTTTGGCCGGCGACCACGAGGAGCCATGAGAGGGCAGATTGGCGCCGGTGGGGGCAAAAGGGCTCTGGTTTCCAGCCTGACAGCCCAGGAGCCTAAAAGAGAGCGGGCCTCGCTGCAGCAGCATTAAAAGAGGGCGCAGAAGAGTGTGTAGGCCACGTGAAGGCCGTGGAAGCCCCAGGAGCGGCAGAGGCGTCTGGGAAGCAGCACGGCAGCAACAAACTCCCTGAGAAGCCGCAACAACCCCGAAACGCGCCCCCGCGGTATTTTAAAATTCGAGGCCCGCGACAAAAGGAATGAGGACCTTGCTATTCTAGCTGCGGAGGTGGGGGTGAGGAGCGAATCGCAGGAAGCATGAGGAGTGGTCATAAGTAGTTGCCTGATGGTGGGTAGATCCCCTCCCCCCCATGTCTCCTGGGGAGGGGACTTCCACCAGGCAGCGTCCCACTGCCTCTTCTAGGAGGCTTAAAGCCTTGGCTGACACTCGCCCTTTCCATGCCAGCCAAAGAGACGAAGTTATGGAATTCTTTTCCCTTCCCCCCAATTGTTTCCGGGTGTTCCCCCCGGCCAAGAACGTTGACAAGCGCCAGCAGATGTGGCAGGCCATCCAGCACCTGCTCGACATTGTGGCCATAGAGAGAGTCCCTGAGGACCAGGCGGGCAAGGGGTTTTATTCAAACCTGTTCCTAGTGCCAAAATCATCGGGGGGATGGAGAGCCATTTTAGACGGAAAGCTCCTAAACCAATTCTTAGTGTATAGATGTTTTAAGATGGCTTCCCTTAAGTCCATTCTGGCAGGGATCTGGGGGAGGGCCTACATCTCACGGAGGCCTACCTGCACATCCCCATCCTCCCTGAGCATAGGCGTTTTCTCCATTTCTTCTTCTTAGGGCTTCACTACCAGTATAGGGCTCTACCATTTGGGTTGGCTTTGGCCCCCAGGACCTTTACCAAGGTGTTAGCGGTAGCAGCCGCCCATCTGAGGGAGATTCCCATCAGGCTTTTCTGCTACCTGGATGACATCCTTGGCAAGGGGGCGTCTCCTGCTCAGACTAGATCAGACCAGATCAGACCTCCAGCAGGTCATTGACACCTTCCAGGGCTTAGGGTTCTCAATTAATTTCGAGAAGAGTACTCTCTCCCCATCCACCTGAATCCTACATCTGGGGGCGGTGATTGATTCCTGGTTGGATCGAGTGTTTCTTCCCTGGATCACAGGTCCAGCTTGTTGAAGTTAATTAACCAGATCTGCTGGGAAAGTTCATTTCATGCATCGAAGTGGTTCCGTGGGTGCGACTACATGCCAGGACGCTCCAATGGAGGCTGCTGCCATATCAGAGGGCCGACTCCAGCAACTCGATGCTCAAGGTACCAGCAACGCTGCAGGTGGTGATGTCTCTCAAGTGGTGGATGTCCCCAGCTTTGCTCGAGGGCTGCGAATTCAGGGAACAAGAGCGCCTCATACTGACAACGGACGCCAGCCTTTTCGGTTGGGGGGTGATCCTAGGCTCCCAGCTGGCACAGGACCAGTGGTCAAAGAACGACCTTCAACACAACATAAATTGGCTGGAGCTTTGGGCAGTCCACCTTGCCCTATGACGGTTCCAAACCTCAGTAAAAGATCATCACGTTCTTGTTTTAACTGACAACGTTGCAGCAAAGGCGCACATCAATCAACAGGGGGACACACGATCCAGAGCGTTGCACACTGAGGCAATGTCGCTGGGATACTTGGCGGAGAATCACCTGCGCTCTATCCAAGCAGAACACATCACCGGCATAGACATCAGGCGGACTGGCTGAGCCAGGTAAGACGGTAGACAATGGAGAGTGAAGTCTGTCCAAAGAGGTCTTCCAGAGGATTTGCCAGAGGTTCAGGACACCGGTGGTGGACCTGTTCACCACTCCGTCCAACGCTCAGCTGCTGCGGTTCTTCTCTCGGTTCCCAGCTCGGGGAACCAAGGGGGTCAACGCCCTTCGCTCCAAGTGGCCGGTCGGGCTGCTGTACGCTTCCCCCCCACCTCTCCTTCCTGGAGTCATCCAGAAGGTAGTCAGGGAGCAGGCCGAAGTAATCCTAATGGCTCCCTACTGGCCCAGGGGGGCTTGGTTCGTGGATCGGCTGAGTCTGTCGTGTCGGCAGGGAGACCGTGGAGGATTCCCCGGGGGGAGGTGAGATTGCTACAGGGGAAGTTGGTCCATCCAGATCCACAGTGGCTCCAACTGGCCATGTGGAGATTGAGTGGGAGCGCCTGAGAGGCGCCCTCCTGTCCCAAAAGGTGATCAGAACCATTGAGGCCTCCCGCACAGTCAACCAACAGGATTTACAATTCCACTTGGGAGACGTTTGTCTCCTGATGCTAGGCCGCCCACGTGGCCCCCTCCAGGGCCACGGTCCCTCAAGTCCTGGATTTCGTCCAGGAGGACCTGGACAAGGGCCTGTCCCTAGCCACGGTTAGGAGACAGTTGGCGGCACAGGCCACGGTGCTACCTGGGGAGGGGCCCACTCCGCTATCTAGTTTGCCCTTAGTTAAGAGGTTCCTCAAGGGGCAGCCCACCTTCGTCCACCACCAGTCCACAGGTTTCCGTTTAATTATATCCATTCTTATTTTAATCTCTTTCTTTTGTGCAGATTTCTGTAATTCTTTTTCCAAAACACTATAATCTTTTTCTAGTTTTTTGGATGTTTGTCTTTTCTTTGAGTTTCTCATTCTTTTGTAGTCTATTATCAGACCTCTAGAAAAAGCCTTCATTGTATCCCAAAGGTTCTGCAAGGATGTGTCTTCTTTTTTATGTTCTTTAAAAAAGAAAGTCAATTCTTTTTCGATTTTCTTTACAAGGTCTTTCTTTTTCAGTATCGTGTTGTTTAAAGTCCATCTAGATCTTGTTCTTTGTGCTCTCCATTTTATTGTCATTGGGTTGTGGTCGGCCCAAATGTTTGGTTCAATTTCAACTTCTTTTATACTGCCAAATAGATCTGTTGAGGCCCAAATCATATCAATTCTAGAGAATGATAAGTGTCTATTGAGTAGAAAGTGTATTGTTTTTTAGTGGGGTTTCTTTCTCTCCAGATATCTTTTAGATTGATTTCATCCATCATCTTGCAGAAGGATTTTGG